CTGGCGTCGCACTGTTCCACAGCGGGCGGTGCTGCCCTGCCTCGGGCCTCGGGGCCCCTACGGGTCGATCCCGCTCGAGAAGTGCAGCAGAGAAAGGGGTCCAGGGCCCCGCGGCAGCTTTGACGATGCTGCAGCTCTTTCGTGATGTCGGACCTCGGCCATGTTCCGAGCCCGCTGGGCTGCTGGACGCTCCTGGGAATGAGCGCGTTCGGCTGGCGAGCGCGCCACCTTCACGCCGCGCTGCTGGAGTCGAGCCCACTCGGCTGCCCATTCTCGGCGGCCGAATGGGCACAGACGCCGAACGGGCCCAAAAGGAAACTTTGGGCAGGCCTTCCTCCACAGGCTGGACGCTTTTTGGTTTGGGCAGGGGGGGGGGGCTCGCGGGGAACCTTCGTCGCCAGGGCTGGACTCGCCTCGAGGTCCTGGTCAGCAGCTGCTCCGGCACGGGCTCTTGAAGGGGAGGGCGCTCAGACCTGGACGCCCCTGCCGGATCGCGACGAGCGCCTCTGCCCCGCCTCGTGCCCTCGAGACCCTCAGGGGCCGCACCCGCCTGAAGAACGACTCCCGAAGATGGAGTTCACGGCTGTCTTCGTGATTTCCCCAGGCTGCTGCATTGCACGTGGGCTTCTGGCTCAATCTCCGCATGGGGGGCCGGCGGCGAGGGCCCCCAGGAGTCCCTCTTGGTTCTTGGGGGGATTCCTCGGGAAGGGGGTCCTCGGGGCTCCGGAGGGGGTCCTCGGGGCTCCCGGGGAGGTCCTCGCGAGTTCCTCTGGGGCTCCTCGGGGTTCCTGGGAGGGTCCTGTGAGGCTCCTCGGGGCTCCTCTAGGGGTCCTCCGGGCTCTAGCGCAGTGCATTGACCTGCCTTGCTTCGTCTTGCGTCGCACAGCTCTGCAGTGTTCTGCAACGCTTGCGTTGTGGACCTTGCTTTGCAAGGCTTGAATTGCTTATCCCATACAACTTTGCATGAATTGCAGTGCACCTGTTTGCGTGGGTTTGCATGGCTTCGTGTTTGTTGCCATTACTCTCCGCCACTGTGCCCTCAGGCACGTTGAGCGTTGACGCGTGGAAGAATGCCAAGTGCTGTATGGTAGCAGTTCTGCACCTTTCTGAAATGGCCGACCCCCACCCTCGACCCGCATCCAGCTGCATGCCCCCTCCCCCCTCCCGAGGCTCCCTAGGCGGCCCGACGCCTCCATCGCGCTTTCCGAGGCACCGAACCTTCGTAACAAAAATACACCTGGGGAGACACCGAACGGGGGAAGTTTCAAAAGTAAGTAACTCTGAGCTCCTTGGCACTCCTTTACACTGCATGCCGTTGCGTGGCGTTGCTTGGCATTGGCTGGCATTGATTGGCACTGACTGGAACGTTTCGGGATTGCTTGGACCTGCTTGCTGTTACTTGGCATCGCTTGGCATAGCTCGACATTGGGAACCGAAATCCTCCCAGTGCGACCCTACCTAGGAGTTGGAGGATCTAGGAAAGCAACATCTATATGAAGCTAAGTTAAGCTAAGATGAAGCTAAGCTAAGATGAAATAAGCTAAGCTAAGATGAGATAAGCAACGCTAAGCTAAGGGAACGTCACTGGGGGAACCGCGGGGCGGATACTGGGGGAACCGCCCGGGGCGAGTTGCACTGCCCAGTCCTTTAAACATACCAAGTAAGAGCCCTTCTAGACAGAGCCTAGGTAGGGAAAAAAGCCAAGGATTAAACCCAGACCGAGGAACAGATGAAGGTACGAGAAACCAAGACCGGGGAACTCGAAGAATGCCTTGAGGAAACCAAGACAGGAGAACAGAAAACGGCTGAGCCCGCCTCTGACGAATGACGCCGCAACCACGGGATTCTAAACAAGTGAGAAGCACTTAAGCAATGTCTAAGATTGGTAGATCCGCGCTCCCAAGCTTCCATGACGGCCAAGGCAGGCCACCAAGACCGCCACACAAATTGCCTATGTTGGGCCCTGAGACGGCCCAAGATGGGCTCAACACGGCCAGAGAGTCCCCGAAGACGGCCCAAGAGGGCGACCACAAGATCATGCTGTGCTTCACTCGGACTTACATACGCCCGTTTCGATTCGCCTATTTTAATCAAACCGTTCCGCTTCACCCGTCTTGATTCATCCGTTTTGTTTCATCCGACATGAGCTCGCCCAAACTAGAATTCACCCGATTGAGATTTGCCCGGGCTTAAACCCATCCCGTTCAAATTGGCCAAATGCTCAATTCGTCCGTGTCGGTTCGACCACTTTGATTCACCCGCTTTGGAACCGCCTGTTCCGATTCGCCCGTTGTCGATTCGCCCAGCTTCGATTCCCCTTGTTTGTTTCTCCCAACGTTAGTTCGACCGCGTCCGGTTCGCCTGCTTCTGACTCGCCCAGGCGAATCAGAACTTCAATTCTGACTGGCCCGGGCGAATCAGGAGCGGGCGAAACAAACACGGATCGGAAAGGACAAACGCGGGCGAAACAGAAGCGGGGGAAACACAGCGGGCGGGCGAAAGACGATCAGGTGAAACAACAGCGGATGAAGCAACAGCGGGCGAAACAAAACCAGATGAGAAAAACGGGCGAATGAAACATTAAGATTCTACGCTGTCTTGCCCGGATGACAACTCACCCGTTTCGATTCGTCCATCTTCATGTATCCGACCCACCTTGACTTTCATCTGAATTGCATTCGCCCGGATTGGAATATCATCCGGCTCAAATTCGCTCAAGTTACCTTGCTTCAATCGGTCTTCATTCCTCCGGGTCAAAGCCTGTCCGTTTCGATGCGCCCGCTTCGCCCCGTGCCGATTTGCCCAATGTCGACTCGCCCGGTGTTGATTCGTTCCGTGCTGGTTCGCCCAGCGTCGACTCGTCCACCCGTGTTTCGCCCAGCGTCATTTCGCCAAGCTCCGAGTCGCCTGGCTTTGTTCCGCCCGGGCGAAGCAGAAGCTGGCGCAACAGGAGCAGATGAGGCAGAAGCGGGGGAAACAAAAGCGGGCGGATCAGAAGACACGAGCGGGCGCAACAGAAGCAGGCGAGGTAACGCGGCGAACAAGCACTTGCGAAACAACAGCGGATGAAATGAAAACGGGCGAACAAAAAAAGACGAAACAAAACAATCGAATCAAATATGTAAGTCCTGTGGGTTCACCCGGCTTGAAATTCACCCTTTTCCGACTGGCCCGTTTTGATTCACACGTTTTGATTGGCTCATTTTGATTCACCTGTTCTGATGAATCTGATTCGGCTTCGAATTCATGTGGTTTCAAGTCGCACGGATTAGAATTCATCAAGTTACGACTTGCCCTCGAGTCGCCTGCTTCGCCTGGCGTCGATTCGCACAGCTTCGACTCGCCTGGTCTGTTTCGCCCGGCGGTATTTCGCCCTGTTTCGCTTCGTCTGGTTCTGATTCGCCCAGGCGAATCAGAAGCGGGCGACACAAAAGCGGATAAGACAAAAGCAGGATAAACAAATGCAGGCGAATCAAAGGCGGACGAAGCAAAAGCGGGCGAAGCCCAAACATGCGAAACAACGCGAGCGAGGTGAAATGGGATGAAATAAAAACGGATGAAGCAATAGCGGGCGAAATAAAAGCGGGCGAAACAAAGCGGGCAAAACAAAAGTGCATACAAAAAACGAGAGAGTAGCGAGGCGGGCGACTCAACGAAAGCGAAACCGCATCGGTGGAGTTCCGAGCAGAAGAAACCACCAAGTATGAAATAGCAGCGAGCGAAACATGTGGTAGCGACACCGAAGAGGGCCAAAGAAAAGCGGACGAAACAACAGTTGCGAAACCTCATCGGTTGAAACCCTAGCGGGCGAAGCAAACGCGATCGAAACAAAAGCAGGCGAAACATCATCAGGCGAAGTCTCGCCGGCGCAAAGTATGGCAATATCGGAATCAGCATTGCGCAGTGCGCAGCGACCTTGCGCAGTGATTTGCAGTGCGGGCAGGGCGGGACGTTAAAATAAGGCGCAACCCATCCATTTGAACATCCACGAGAGCGACGACGACGATGGCGACGACGACGAGGACAACGAGCACGACGTCGATGATGAGGGCGAAGGCGGCGACTGCGACGCCGACAAGACGACGACGACGCAATGACAATGACGATGATGAGGACGACGACGGCGACGTCGACCCGAACGGGCGTGTCGGGCGGGCGGACCCTGATGGCCGGGTCGGGCGGGCGGACCTGAACAGGCGGTTCTGGCGGGCGGGCCCTGGCGTTAGCTGGTGGGCGGGCGGGTAGCGCGCAGTCCATCCAGCCGAACATCCACGGGGGCAACAACGACGATGGCATTGACAACCACGACTGCGACGACGAGGGCGACGAAGGCGGCAAACACGACGACGACGACGACGACGAGGACGACAAGGACGACAAGGACGACAATGACGACGACGAAGACGACGGCGACAAGCGCCACGACTGCGACACCGAAGAGGATGACGACGACGAAGACGACGACGACGACGATGAGGCGACAGGCGCGCTGGGCGGGCGGACCCAAACGGGCGGGTCGTGCGGACGGACCCTGGCCAGCAGATCGGGCGGGCCCGCACCAAGGAGCTGGTCGGGCAGGTCGGGCGGGACGGGTCGGGAATCATCAGGCGGGATAGTAAAGCAGTGCGCAATCCATCCAGCTAGACATTCACGAGGGCGACGACGACCGCGAGGGCGACGACGACCCAGAGGGCGAAGACAACATCGACGGCGATGACGAGGGCGACGAAGAAGACAAGAATCACGACGACGAGGACCGACATGGCGACGACGACCAGGACAACAAGGACGACGACGACGATGGCGACGAGGGCGACGCCGACAAGGACGACGACGACGAGAACGACGACACCGACGACGATGAGGGCGGCAATGGCGACGACGACCCTGAAAGGCGCGTCGGGCGGGGCAATACTGGCGGGCAAACCCTAACGGGCAGATCGGTAGGGCGGACACCTAACGGGCGGTTCGGGCGGGAGGGCCATAACGGGCGGGCGGGT